CGTAGGTACAAGAGTTACCTCACCGTAAAAAGTCCCAAATTAATAATATACTAGTATTCGATTCTGTGCATTTGCACAGATGTAAATAAAATATTATAAGTTATTTGTATGCATATATTAAAATTATAAGTTAGATAATAATATAATATTTTAAACATAGGATATTATAAGTTATATTTATGCATATAATATTAAAATTATAAGTTAAATAAAGGTATTATATTTTGATTATTGGTTAAAATAAATAGTACATAACGATTTTATTGTATATAAATCACTATATTGATTGCATAAATAAAATAAATAATGTAATTTTTGAAATTTTAAGGGACTATGACTAATTAATTAGCTAAAAAATATTTATTATAACAATTGCTTATGCGATTTTAAGAAATTTTACTATGCCATTAAAAAAATTAATTTATTTAAAAAGTAATCGCTTAAGCAGATAAAGAAATATTATATTGATTTTATAATAAATTACTCGAACAAAAAGTTTTTACAATATAGTTTCTTATGTTTATGTAACTTTCACATATCATTTAGTGTAAAATATAATTATTAATTGTAATAATAACTATTATATGATACAATTTTCAGAGGTGGTGAAATTATTTTGTATTGTTGTTAGTGTATTTGTCCATGTTGTACATGTGCTGTATTTTTCATTTTCACAATGATTAATTATTGTAGTGATATCATAAAAAACAATAGATATTCCAAATAAACATTTATAAAAAGTTTTTTTAAAAATTTACATTCTGAATACATGTTTATGTAATCATGAATTTCTATAATAAATAATTCGTAATTAAGTTAGCATATTAATGATTATATAAGAAATTAAAAAAGTAAATATTTTTAGCTAATTAACCTAAATTGATATACTTAGATAAAATAGTGGTCATTGGTTTAGATTTTGTAACTGTCGAAAAGTGATGTATTTTGTAAAAGTAACGGTTTTTGTATTTGGAAAGATTGTATTATTTATTAGGTAAAATTTATTAGGTTTTATTTATGAGGTAAAATTAAATGAAAGGCTAGCAATTATATATATATAGATTAATACTCATCATAGCATGAACTACTTAAAAAACCTTACTTCGATGTATTTTTAGTGACAAACATGGGTGTAGCCAGATAGTCGCTAGTTTGGGCTTCAGCCCAGAGTCATGTTTTTCCCTCTATATTATGCTTAAGAATAAAAACTATTTTTTGTTAAATTAATTCTGCCCATATGAAATTTATTTTAACTTGTATGTGTATGTATATTTTAATTTAAGCTCATGAATATATATATTTGGTTATGACTAGTTATTTATAAAAAAAAATCTCTACAAAAAATTTAATGTAATATCATTTATGTTTATTGGTAACACTAAATTTAGTCTTTATATGTGAACTCATTGTTTGGTCAACTAACATAACTTGTTAGATATTTTACTTTGAGGAACATGTATATTATTGGTGAAAATGTCATAATCTTTCATAATTAAAATGTGTTCCACTATAGAATCTAAGTACCCATGAGATTATTATTATAATTTTAAATTTTGATACTTAATATATATAGGTAAATAAATTTTATCGATGATGCTGAGCTAGGTTGAAGACCTAATTATTGGTGCATATTACATTATTTCCATCAAGTTTATATATTTTCGTAATTGCATTTGAATATTACTAAAATAATAAAAGTATGATATTTCATATCAAAATATATTTTTTAATATAAAAAGTTGATGAATCAGTATATCTATCGTCATCCTACCTTTCAAATAATACATCTTGTATTCAAATTAGCCCAGGATGATTTTTTTCCTGGCTACGTCCCTGATGGCAAATTAGTAATACATTAATACTCATTATATCTTATATTTTTTATTAATAAGTATTTTTTAATTAATTAAATACAAATAAACGAACAAAATATTCCACATCTCCTAAAAATGAACCACAATATTCTCGCACCATTGGTTTTGTAAGAAAATGAGCTACCTAAAAAAATCTTATTTTGACGTATTTTTAATGAAAAATTAGTAATACATTAATATGCATCTTATTATGAACTACCTCAAAAACTCTTATTTTGACATATTTTTAATGCAAAATTAGTAATACACTAATACACATTCTATCTTATATTTGTAATTAATAACTAATATTAGTTATAAAAATACACGAACAAAACATATCACATCTCTACAAAATCAACCACAATATTCTCGCACCATTATTCCTCACGAATTTATTTTATTCCACATATATCCCATTTTTTTTCCATATCTCTCAAAAATAAACTCAACATCAACCAAAACCACAAATATTTGAAAGGATATAGAATTGTTTATTTGAAAAATGTTTTAATTTTTATTATACTTTTAATGGGAAAATCATAATCACAATAATACTAATATATAAATGTTTTTTTAAAAAATTTATTCAACAAAAACAATATAATTAATACCCATAAATAATCTATATTTTTCAACTATTTATTTACATATCTACAATTTTTTTTTTTTTTTAAAAAAGTAAATCTTGGTAAAAATGGATAACTTAATTAAGGTTTAACTTGTATATAATAAATAATTTCAAAGATACATACTTAAATACGAAAGTATAATCTCACACCACATTGTAAAGGGCACCTAATAATTTCAAACAAACAATTTAATAATGATGTACGACCAAAAACAAAGAAAAGCCTGAACAACCTGCCGAAGGTCCAGGACAGGCTCCAACGGATACCATTGAAGTGGCGGTATCCAAACTGGAACCCCAAAAAGAAAAAGAAACATTTGAAGATCCAAGCGAACCAACAAACAATAAAACTTTGCGGCACAGGCGACACACGATTTCTTTTAGACCTCCATCTCTTAAGGGCTTCATCTTGATAAATGTTGTTTGTTTGCACCAGAACCATCCAGTTATTGCAGCCACAACAATCCTGGTAACGAAACTGAAGTTGTGAGAAAAATAAGAGAAATTGAAAGAAAAAAAAAAAACGAGTGAAACACCAGTCTCATCGCCATCATCTAACTCTCATTCAGCGGATATGAGAATTTAGGAGAGAAAATAAAAGTGCAGTGTTGGTTTGATGTTCGAAAAATGAAAGAACCATTGCCTTTTCATTTCCCTCGTTTTGTGCGTGAAATCGTATAGTGAGTAGGTAATCTCACGACACCACCAGGTGCGTTCAGGTCGGGGGCTCATCGCACCCGTAGGGCTTCTGCCTAATAGAACGGCCATCCATAACCAGCCATGTGGGCCGCGACGGGTCTAGTCACCACTAATGTGACAGACTCAATGCCTATATGCTCGAACTTGTCCCTTTTTTGTTTCAACCAACTTTCGAGCTACTTAAACTAAACTTTGAGTTACAAAAACTCAATTTTCCCACATTTCAACTTTATAACTAAATTCTCATTCAACCTAAAATAGTTTTGAAGTTTTTAACTAAAAATTCAATATTCTTTTAACTTAAATTAGCTCTCATTAATATTATCAATATCGTTAAATAGTATTAACCAATCATTACCATACATTTACAGCAAAACATTCACATACTTAGACAATTTAACTATCAATAATTTACATTAATTATTTTACTACTTTTACATCAAATCAATTTTAATCATTACATATTAACTCATACCCACTAGCACATATTCAAAATTCAAATCAGATCGCCACTTAATCAACTTTTTTCAATCTTAACTCAATTTATCTAATAAATCAAATTCAATCTAAAATTTTTTTACTTCCAATTGTTGTTCAGGAGTTTTATTATTTAATAACTCAATTCTGTGTAATCAATGAGTGTATAATGGATTCATTACATTGCTATAAAAAGGGAAAAGAGTGCTTCATGGCTGTGAATCTTGACATGGCCAAAGCATATGACAGAGTCGAGTGGGGCTTTTTAACTAGAGTTTGCAAGCAAATGGGATTTAGTGATCTATTTATCTATTGGATTCTTTGTTTTGTTTGTTCTGCTACATTTTATGTTAATATTAATGGTGATGTTCTTGGTTATTTGCATGGGATTAGGCATGAGGACCCTCTATACCCCTACCTCTTCATAATCCTCTTTGAGGCTTTCTCAAATTTGATCACCCAAGTAATATCTTTGAGTCTGGTTTCTGGAATTGGAATTGGTAAAAAAGCTCTTTGCATTACTTATCTTTTTTTTTTTGCTAGTGAGACAATAAAAAACATAATATTTAATTGGAAAAACAATTACCTGAGTCAAGCAGGAAAGGAAATAATGATCAAAATTGTTCTTGCATGGTGCTCAGGTTTTTGATTCTCCTTGGGTCCCTAAAGACCATCTATTTATACCTACTCACCAGCTTGAAGGGGGCAGGGATAGATTTCAGAGGGTGTCAAATCTTATGCTTGAAAGAGGTAGAGAGTGGGATAGAGATCTCATTTTTCAGTCTTTTCACCCTGATGATGCCCATTGTATTATCATAATACCTATAACCCAAGTAGGAATTAGAGATAAACTCGTCTGGCACTGGTCAAAAAAGGGATATTATACCATGCTATCGGCTTGTGGTATCCTCAGGGCTCAGAGATTGATGGTACAGGATGATGCTACAAGTAGAAACTCTATGGAATTGATGAAAAGATGTGAAATCTCACATGGAGCCTTCCATCAAGAACCAATTGAAAAAATTCGTGTTGAGGAGTTGGCATAAGTTTTTGGGGACCAACTAGCAACTAGAGGGCAAAGGATTGAAGTTTGAGGTAATCTGTAATGTATGTGGAGAGAATGAAGAAGACATGGACCATATATTCTTTCATTGTCATAGAGCTTTGAGATGTTGGAAATTGGTTGGGATACACTGGAGTAGGCAAAATCGTCCACAACCCAATACCGAAACTCCACTGCGTCTGGGTGTCGTACTCGATGGTCACTGGCACTAGTTTTTCGGCCTGTCGGCGGCTGCCTGCTGCAAGGCGCATAACATCCTATCGCTCATCCTCGAGCGAGAGATCAGCCTAGCCTCCCTGTGTCGGCTCAAAACCTACGACCACCTCAAGCTCCACCTCTCAAGGCGGTTCTGCAAGTTGTCGATGATGGGCTTCCCATAAAACTTCTCAACGTAAGCACCAGCTTGTCGGGTATGCGTCGAATATTGGGCTACGGTCGGCAATTGGCGTTCGGGTGACAGTGGCGGCGAACTATATACAAAAATTAATATTATTTCAAGGAAAAAATATTTTTATCTCTCAAATAATAATAATAAATTGAAACTATAAAAACTGGTTAAATAGTGACGATCTAATCGTGTCTGAAGTATTATATCCTGGAATAACTTGGTGTAAATGTCTTTTTTACAAGTCGAGTTTTGATACCACACTAACACTCCTCCCCCTCCAACACACACACACCGGGTTAGACGAGAGTGTGACGCCAAACGGTAAACTATCAATTGATGCTTAAATTATATATTAATAAGAAAGAAAATAAATATAAAATTAAAATTAAATAAACTTAGCCCGATGAAACTAAGTCTAAAAATAATTTTATTATAAATATTATTTTAATTTAAAATCAAAATTCTACTGACAATTAATTATACTACATTTTTCAATCTTAACGATAATTAACAAAAAAAAAACTAATTAAAACCAAATCAAACTCATCTATACAATCACACCATTCCATTCGGATGTTGAGGGGTAAATGGTAATTATGTCTAATCAAAACCAAAGCACCTTTACATTTATTTTCTTTCTCCGCAAGTCCAAAATCCCCCTAAAACCCTGTCCTCCCAATTTCTCCACCGCCACTATCGCCGCCGCGAATTACCGATTTGATTCTTTCTGATATTTTGAAATTCCATTTTTGGAATTCAGCTTCGTCCTTCGCAGCCATGTCCCTGAGCAGAATAACGAGCCGGGTCTCGAGGACCGTGCTAAGTCAGTGCCGCAACTCGGCCCTCCTCATCGGCCGCCATGAGAACAATCACTTTCAAAATTCATCGAATATATTAATTTCCTCGCGTGGGCTAAGTGATAAGGTACTGTTTTCGGTTGGTCGAGATAGGTTTTTTCATGGGCTTTGGATCGTTTGAGGAGGGTTTTTTTCTGTTTTCTTTTATTGCAGAGTTTTGGTTACTTACGAATTTATACTGTGTTGGGGACTAGTTGTTTGCCTTCCCAACTTCACTGTCTTTTTCCTTATAGAAGACTGTGCCTTTGTTGTACAAATTGGTGTTTGATGTACATTGGATTTCGGCAGTCGGCATTATCTTGAGTTTTTTTCTATTTATGCTCTCTAGGTTGTGTCGTCCACCGAATAATCTACTTGAAAGTTTAATCATCTGTAAGGCATGAAACTCCTGTTTCAGTTTTGCAGCATAAACAACAAAACCCTAGGCCCTTGGCCATGAAGCTCCTATTAGTAATTAGTTGTTTTCTGCATCCCAGCGTGCTTTCCTTTCTATGATATTCAAACAGTCCAAATTTTGAAAGTTGAAAGTAGATGTAGATAGCTTTTTTCCTTATCAAGTTATAATTGAGTTTGGCCTAGTATTTTAATATGTATTGTTATAATTTTTAGGGTATTTAAGTAAGGTGACACGGAATGTTTGCAAGTTTCTCCAGGCAGACTGGAGATTTTTTACCATGGATGTCTGATTAGTTAAGGGACTTGTGATAATAGACTTGATATCACACACTTTGAAGTTCGAATTTTATATCAACAGTTTAATGATAGTTTTTGCTTCGTATAATTGAATTTCTGTTGTTCAGTTTAATTTGATTATTTGATGCCTGCATACCTCAAAAGTGGAGTTCACTGAATTATATTTGCATTATGTGTTTGTGGTTCTTATAACTAGGCATCTAGTTTGTTTACAACTTCCCATCGCAATTCTTCCCAATACTCCAATATTTCATTCTATTGTCTTGATGGTTTATTGGAATAACAGCTTCTCTTACAGTGTTATTCACTAGGTATAACTCGAAAGATTTTTGTATGAAATTCTATTGCCGTTCGCTGTTTTGAACTAGTTTGAGTTATAATAATTAAAAATATGTTGCATAACTCAAGCATCAGTTGGGCAAAACAAACTAATTTATTGTGAATGCATTCTGTGACTAAATTTCGGCATCAAAACTCAGAAAATTGATGTTATCAAGAAGATACTCTGTTTTTCATGTAGGTGGTACCTGGTCAGGTTTCATTGCTGCACCATTCATCCCTGAAAGCATCAGGCTTTCAGTGGTTCGGGTTCTCTTCATCCGCAAATTCACAGCCCAATGAAAAAGAGACAGTCCAGTCTACAAATAATCATGAAAATAGAGAGCCAGATGACGAAGCCTCTGCATCTGCAACTGATGCTACTCAAACTGAAGCTGACGAAAAAACCGAATCAGGTCCTCAAATTAGTACTTCCGGGACTCCTAAGAGGAAAAGAGGTGTTAAACGAGTTGCATTTTCTGATGTTGATTCTGATTCAGATTTGGAGGCTGACCTCTCCAGGGATGACCTGGTGAAGCTCGTGGCCGAGAAGGAACAACTTCTCGCCACAAAGCAGGAAGAGCTGGAGCAGGTGAAGGATACAGCCATGAGGTCATTGGCTGAGATGGAAAACACAAAGGAGCGTACTCGACGTGAAGCCGAAAATGCCAAGAAGTTTGCTATTCAGGTTTTGTATATTTTTCCTTTTTCTTTGATTTTGTGATTAATAAATAAAGAGGTCTACTAATTGTTTTTATTAGGAAAGTGTCATTCATTTATAAATAAAGGGGGTGCTTGTAACACTATAAGGGGATATTTGTAACTTTTGGCAAATAACAGAAGTTTTTGGTTTTGTGATTAGGCTGTAGTTTAGGGATAGTTGTTGTCCTTGGTCTCTTACTTGAGTCATTTTCTGAACTGTCTTATTTGACATGTGATACAGAGCTTTGCTAAAAGCCTTTTGGATGTGGCGGATAATTTGGGTAGGGCTTCTTCTGCTGCCAAAGAGAGTTTCTCAAAAGTGGATGTGTCTAAGGATGCATCTGTAGCCACTCAACAGCTCAAAACACTACTTGCAGGTGTTGAAATGACTGAAAAACAACTGAATGAGGTACTATAGTTTTTGGGTACCTCTTTTTTTCAATTGTATTTCGTGTGTCGACCAATATTTCATATGATGTGCATGAGCTTGAGGTCATCTTGCAACCGAGTATAGTTGGGAGGGTCCATCATTAATATATGGCATTTCTTGCTGCAAAATATGGTAGTACTGACCTATGTTGGCAAGACTCCATAGGTTTCGAGGTTCAGTGTTTTGACATAATCTTATTTATATAAATGAGTAACAATATTTATATAAATTTGGTAAATTTGTACCTTATCATATTTTATATTTATTGGGACATTAATCTTTCATTTTTATTTGGGGGAAATTGAATAAAAGCTACCTTATCACATACACTACCTTATCATCTCATAATAAGAATAATATCAATGAATATCATACATGTGTAGATTGTTAATTTATGCATCTAATTTTCCCCATATGCAGGTATTTAGAAAGTTTGGGCTAGAGAAATATGACCCAGTAGATGAAGAATTTGACCCAAACAGGCATAACGCTGTGTTCCAAGTTCCGGATCCTTCCAAGCCAGCTGATCGTGTTGCAGTTGTTCTAAAGGTATCTGAGAGGGGAAAAAGGGGGTCATATACATGCAACCCGTTTTCTGTACAATTTACAAGTCTTCTTTACATGTGATCTCACTTCATTAATTAAAAAAAAAACCTAATCAAACCACCAATACCTATTGATATTTGTTTCCAAATTTCCTTATTGCTCCATCAGAAGATTGGCATTGTTAAATATTGAATTAAAATTTATATATTATTGCTTTTGTTCATTGTCAGGCTGGATATATTCTGCACGATCGAGTTATAAGGCCAGCTGAAGTTGGTGTAACAGTGGCAGCAAACAACGAGGAGGGTGAAAAGACATCTGAGGACTGAGCCAACACCAACATAGTTACTTGTGTACAATGATGGTTCGATTTCCGGCTGTTAAATTTATCTTTAATTTGGATAAAAGCCTTGAGTTGCTCATGGGTTTCAGTAGGGAGGATTAGAACTATGAGCTTTTCCTTTTCCTGATCTATGATCTGTTTATTGTTCTTTCTCAGTTGATATTTTCAGAAATGACTCATGCTGGTTAAAATTTTTGGGTTTTCTAGATAAATTTGATCTTGTTACTGGTCCCTGGAAGTGTGTGTTAATAAAAAATGTACGCACGTTATTGGTGGTACCATAAATGCTATGGGGTCGGTTGTGTTGCATCACTTATGGAAGAACATTTACTATGATATAATAATATCTTTTGATGTCTGATTCATGTCTGAAAATATATTGGAATTATGGTTAGTATTGTGGGATTTGAACACATTGATGGGCTGAAATAAGAGTAGTAGAGTACAACACTCCCTACCTATTACACTGTGCTAATAAAAAAAACTATATCTGTTTTTTTTCGTGTAAAATAAAAGTTTTTGTTTTTGTTTTTGGTTTAAGTTACAAATAATTTTCAGATAATTGAATTATTATTTATATTTAAATTGACACTATTATTTTATGAACTTAAAAGATAAATTTCTTTAATTGATAAATATATTTATCATTTTTTAACTAATATTGATGGATAATTCAAATTTTATTATAAAGGTAAAAATATATATTTATTTATGCAATTTGGATTTCAAATTGAAGCTCGGCAAGAGATGATTAAATTAATATATTATATAAAAAAATTAATTACAAATACAAAAAATCAATAACTTGTAAATATAATTTGTTAGGCAAAGTTTTTACAATTTTAAAACTTGTAAGAGCATTCATTATAGTTGTTAAAATAAGCGTTATGTTGNATATATATATATATATATATATATATATATATATATATATATATATATTGGAAAACTAATTAATTTTATTATAATTTTTTTTCCTATGGTCATTGCCGATATGAGGAGATTGCCTTTCTATGTCATAGTGATGTTGGCATGAGGTATCTATAGCTTGGAGTGAGATCGGCATAGAGGGTGTTACCAACTAACGCCCATTTCAGATGCTTCCATGCTGATATATTTATATTTAGTCGTTGTATACTGGGACCTTGGGGTACCGTCGGTGTAAACTTGTCGTCCACATCATCACAGCTTAATGGGTTAATCCAGATCGACACATTTTATGTACATCAGTGTGGATTAAGGTTCAATACACATCTTAACCGAATGAAAATGTAGTTTGCCATTTATGCTTAAATAGACCTCTTATAATTGGAAAGAGTTACACGACTCACAACCATTACATTCATGAGAAATCCTTTATTGGGATAACCACGATTAAGGAATCTTCCAAACTTGCTAAGAGAACACTTCTTATTATCGAACACTAGCTTAAATCCATGCTCACCTAGAAGTGATCTGCAGACCAAATTCTCACGGATGTCCAGGACATGTAGAACATCCTTAAGCTTTAAATAATTTCTAAAATTTAGCTTTAGCACCAAGGGGCCAAGTCTAGCCACATCAGATGATGAAGAGTTTTCTATATGAAGTTTCTGACCAGTAGAATGAGTTTAGTTTGAATACAACTCCTTGTTGAAGCAGACATAGCGAGTGACACCAGTATCAATGTACCACTCCTTGGATTATAACCATTGACTTGAAACACCACAACCGACATATCTAAGTCAGTCAGTTCACCGACACAAGGTCATGTTCAGCAATGTAGGCACTCAGTTGAACCTTTTTTAGCCTGTAACTTTCCAAAGTTTTTGAGGTTGTCGGTAAATTCCAAACTTTGGCTCACTGCTTCCCCTTGTATTCAGAATAAGTTTTCTATTGCTCGAGACGCCTTGCTCCAACAAATTTGCACGAGCCTCCATCATTGGAACTTTCCCTATGACTTACGGCTGTCCATTTCAATTGCTGCCGCCACTTGGAACGACTCGCTTAAAGACATTCCTTCAACATGGGTGTCATGCAAGATAAGTTGAAACTCATGCACTTGAGACACGGCGGTGTTGGAGTCGGCCATCTTGAATCCAAAAACTTGCCGATGACAAATTTCTTATCCCGACATCCTTGGTCTTGTAATTATTCTCCAAAGTAGCCCAAAGCTCTTTGATAGAACTCATCGAGCTATACCCATTGTACAAGTGGTTACTAAGCCCGTTAATGACATAATTCCAGCAAAGGTAGTCACCTTGCCTCCAAGCATTGTGCGTAATGCATATTCATGATGGTCTCATTTTAGCAACAATAGAGAGGGTCGTCCTTTAGGTATTTCCCCAAACCTAATGTGGTTTGATAAACGTGCATCTACTTCTGTCGTTTTTTGAAATCAAGCCCATTGAGTTTCTCGCGCTTTCAGCTGTGGTACATGGACAACGAGTATAGGATGAGGATGAGGAATAACAGTGTTGAGCGGTTGAGGATGCTGATATTGTCGAGTGTTCAAACCATATCCAGTGGATGCCATAAGTTCAATAGGTGTAATTATTCGTCTGGCGATTGTTAAAAAACTAAGTGTAGAATTAAACGGGAATCTTATCAACCAAAGTGATATTTTTCAGTTCTTACAATATGAACTACAAAACAAAAAGTGAAACAAACAACAAATTAAAATGGAAAGATTAATGTTGAGACAAAAAGATCTCTTTCCGCATGAAGAATACGTCCCCTAATATGCTGACGAATTCAGGCTTGTCATCCCCTAAAGATACACCACTACGTCTCAGAAGTTGTAGCACTTTCAGACTTCCGAGCTCCGAAGAACTTGAATAGAGCCGCATACTAAGCACAATATATTATGATGCTTGAGGCTTTTTTGAAGAGCAAGTATGAAGATGATGTTATGTTGTGCTTCTGCAGTTTTACCATGTCCTATTTGTAAGACTTCCAGCTCAGACATGAAAGACCAAAGGCAAGCTGCCAGTCTGGCACTAAAGGTAGATAACAACCAAGTATTAGTTGTTATAATGGGCATAAAACAGTCAAGCATTTTTAGGTGTTAACACTTCGTCACTCCACCTGATGACCAGCGAAACTGTCAAGTGGAATCAAATATATCCATATTTAATGTACCTGGTGAATGTAACACATGTTAGGTCTAAACTCGAGTCCAGCCCCAAACCAGTTTGGATTTTACTTTGGACAGTCTGACCCACAGTCCTATTGTCTATTGCCAAGGACTAAGGACCAAGGTCCAAGATCTAAGTCCAAGTCTAAGTCTAAGGCCAAGGCTAAGACCAATCTCAGGCCCATACCGGTGTCGGTTGGTCGATAGGTGGGCACGCACGCGCGTGACCGAAACAAGCACTATGCATAACTTTAATTGTTGTTGTGACTGCTCGGAATAGTTATCTATACATGCTTTGTAATTAATTTTTAGCATAAATTAATATTTCAAACAGGTGTGAGATAAATATACTAAAATATTATTTCATGCTATTAAATATCAATAATTTGTATAGTGGCTTGATTAACGACCCACCACTTCTATCCTTTTAAGTTTATCTAATTGATGTCCAAATTAAATTGTTGTATGCACATACATTTATATTGTTATATAAATATTTCAGACCCTTTTAAAAATACAAAAAATATTATTTTGTATTATTCTATGCTAAAAGGTTACTTTATATATAAATGCTTTGTTTTGTGAGAAATATTTAGGGCTTTGATTGTTTTTATACTACCCGTAGATGTACATTAATTTGTTTTATATGAAAAATATTATTATATTTATTTTATATACGAAATATTGTTGTCAAATTATAATTATTTTAATTAATTTAACATAATATTTATAAAATATGGGTAATATAAGTTATCAAATATTTATTTGATATACAAAACGGTATGATTGTTCAATTTAAAATATTTTAAAAAAAATATAAAATTTGATCAAGAAAAGAATCACATATATATATTTGGCTCTATAGAATTTTTGTCTCTAACTAATATGATCACATACACTTATATTTAATCGTTATAGTAAATGGAAGTAAATAGAATTTATTTTTTTGAAAATTTCAGTTTGTTTGTAAAAAGAACGAGAATAACGCTAAATGGAAAAATTAGAAAGTCTTATTTCAATTTCAGTGTTGCTAAAATTAGAATGTCTTATTTTTATCATGTATAGAGATTTTTTGGTTAATTAGCTTAACTCCATATATTTAAAAATAAATAAATAAACCTGTTGTTCTAAAGCTATGATTTGTGTGTAATGTACTAATGTTGCATAATACACCATCATACTTATTTAATATATTACATTTTTTCATATTGAAACATTATAACTTAAAAATATAAATAAAATTATGACATATTTCGTAATATAAACATACATTTTTATTAGGGTTAATTGCAAATAAAACCCTAACCTTTTGTTGAATTGCAGATAAAACTCCACTTTATAAGTTTGGCAAAAAAAATAATAACCTTTCATAAGTGTTGCAATTGTGTCTCAACCACCACCCGCCGCCGTCAACCGCCACCCACCGCCGGCCAACTTTGTCGGATGTTGAAAATTTTTACATGATCTTGTAGCTCTCCTTCGTGCCGACAACATATCCGAGTTTCACGAAAAAATTCCGACGATAAGGCTTCCAATTTTCCGGTCAAAGCTCGTAGATCTACAAATTTTATCCGGCTCTTTTGCAAATTCCCGGTGACTTGCTTTGACCCACGTGAATCCGAAGATACCGTTGAACTCCTCTCGCAAAGCTGCATCTATTGACGTTCACCTTCACCGAAATCGGTGACTTTTTCCGGTGACGACTTTTCCGGTCATCTTCTTATCGTCGGAATTTTTTCGTGAAACTTGGATATGTTGTCGGCACGGAGGAGAGCTACAAGATCATATAAAAATTTTTAACATCCGGCGAAGTTGGCCGGCGGCGGGTGGCGGTTGGCGGCGGCGGGTGGCGGTTGAGACACAATTGCAACACTTATGAAAGGTTAGTATTTTTTTTGCCAAATTTATAAAGTTGAGTTTTATTTGCAATTTAACAAAAGGTTAGGATTTTATCTGCAATTAACCCTTTTTATTAAGAAAGTGGCCATTGCATTAGTACATTATAGAGCCTTCAGTTGCATGTCTTGTGATTTGATCAATTTGATAATAATATTTTATCAATATAATAATATGGTGATGTAAATTATAACCATAGTTTTTAAATTCGGCCCGGTAATCAACTCGGGCAGGTCCTCAGGGTACTGGGTCACCGGTTCAACCGTCGGGTCACCGGGTCAATTGCTGAACCGGATAATTAATTTTAAAATTTTTAAAATTATATATAAAGTATTTTTGTCATATAAATA